CCACAGCTTGCCCTTGAAGAAACTACACATTACTTGCCCCCACCCGCAAGAACGACTCAAAGGTGTGGCAGGGAGTTCCACAGCTTGCCCTTGAAGAAACTACACAGTACTTGCCTCCCCTCCCAACAACAACAACTGACTCTTGGAGGAGTGGCAGGGAGTTCCACAGCTTGCCCTTGAGGAAACTGTACATTACTTGTCCCCCCCCCCCCAACAACAACAACAACAACAACAACTGAGTCTTAGAAGAGTGGCAAGGAGTTCCACAGCTTGTCCTTGAAGAAACTACACATTACTTGCCCTCAACTTCAACAACGACTCAAAGGAGTGGCAGGGAGTTCCACAGCTTGGCTTGGAGAAACTACACATCACTTGGCTCCCTTTACCCTAAACAACAACAACAACAACAACTGACTCTTAAGGAAGTTCAAGAAAGGGACGAAGGACCCCTTTGGAAGTGGAACCCCCAACCCACGTGGGTGGGCCTGCAGGTGGGCCCCACCTTATCGCCCTTTTAAGGCGGGGCCCCTTTTAAGAAGCGGTGCATTGTGGAATGAGAGGGGAGGGGGCCAAAGAGAGAGAGAGAGAGAGAGAAAAGAGTGTGGAATTTGGGAAATGAAATGTAGCAAAAGGAGGGAGGGAGAGAAACATTTCCAAAGGAAGGAAGGAAGGAAGCAGGAAAGCAACATTGTCTCTCCCCCCCCCCTCCCTTTGCACGCCCTTTGAATTGGGTGCCTTCTCTGTTTGGGGAGGGGGCCAGGCAGAGAGGAACTGGGGAGGGGGCGCCTGGGCCCACCATGCCATGGGACCCAAGGTAAGGGGCGGCGCCGACCCCGCTGGGGCTGCCGCCTGAGGCTGAGAGAGAGAGAAAGAGAAGGAAGGAAGGAAGGAAGGGAAGAAAGGAGGGAAGGAGGGAGGGAGGGGGGCGGAGCGGGGAGCCCCACCCCCGTCCCCACCCAGCCCAGGTCGGGAAGCCGAGGAAGGCGGAGCGCCGGCAGAGGAAGAAGAAGGAGAAGAAGAAGGAGAAAGAGAGGAAGGAGGAGAGGAAGAAGAGGGAGAGGAAGGGAGGCACAAAGCCTGCAGGCATGAGGTCAGTGCTCGCTTGCCTTCAAGGGGGGCCAGGGAGGGGCTGGGGGGCTTTGTTGTGTTTCTTGGAAGGCAAGAAAGGGGATCCTCACCTTTCCCCAGGGACCCCCTTCTTGGGGGACCCCTTTCCCGACCTTTCTAAGGAACCCCCTCCTATCTTTTGGGACTGTGCTTCCTTGGGGACCCCTCTTTCTTAAGGAGAGGTATCCCCTCCCTCTTCTTTAGGGAACCCACCTTTCCCCGGGGACCCCCTTCTTGGGGGACCCCTTTCCCCACTTTTTTAAGGCACCCCCTCCTTCCTTTTGGGACTGCTCTTCCTTGGGGACCCCTCTTTCTTAGGGACAGGCATCCCCTCCCTCTTCTTTAGGGAACCCTCTTTTCAAGGGACCCCTCTTCCCACTTTCCATGGGACCCCAACTCTTCCTGAAGAGGGGGGTCCCATGGTGGGACCCTTCTAGTGGAACCCCACCCTTCCTTCCTTCCTTCCTTCCTTCCCCTTCCTTCCTTCCTTTCCTTCCTTCCTCCCCCCCCCCCTCTCTTCCTTCCTCTTCCTTGGAGAATTCCCTTTCTTCTGGACCTTCTTTCTTGGGGGTCCCCTTCTTGGGGGACCCCTTTTCCCGACTTTTCTTAGGAACCCCCTCTTTCCTTTTGGGACTATCCTTCCTTGGAGACCCCTCTTTCTTAGGGAGAGGTATCCCCTCCCTCTTCTTTAGGGAACCCCCTTTTCAAGGGACCCCTCTTCCCACTTTCCTTGGGACCCCCCTCTTCCTGAAGACCTCCCTTCCATTGGGACCCACCTTTCCTTCCTTCCTTCCTTCCTTCCTTCCTTCTTCCTTCCTTCCTTCCTTCCTCTCTCTTTCCCTTCTTGCTTGGAGAATTCCCTTTCTTTGGGACCTTCTTTCTTGAGGACCCCCTTCTTTGGGGACCCCTCTTTCCACTTTCCTTGGGACCCCCTCTTCCTGAAGACCTCCCTTCCATTGGGACCCACCTTTCCTTCCTTCCTTCCTTCCTTCCTTCCTTCCTTCCCCCCCTCTCTCTTTTCCTTCCTCTTCCTTGGGGAATTCTCTTTCTTTGGGACCTTCTTTCTTGGGGACCCCTTTTCCCACTTTCCATGGGACCCCCCTCTTGCTGAACACGGGGGTCCCATGGTGGGACCCTTCTATTGGGACCCACCTTTCCTCCCTCCCTCCCTCCCTTCCCTTCTCTCTTCCTTGAAGTGTCCCCTTTCTTCATCACCTTCTTCCTTGGGGACCCCCTGCTTTGGGGAGCCCTCTTCCTACTTTCCTTGGAACCCCCTCTTGCTGAAGACCTCCCTTCCATTGGGATCCACCCTTCCTTCCTCTCTCTCTTTCTCTCCCTCTTCCTTGGAGAATCCTCTTTCTTCATGACCTTCTTCTTTGGGGACCCCCTTCTTTGGTGACCCCTTTTTCCACTTTCCTCTTGACGAAGACCTCCCTTCCGTTGGGACCCACATTTCCTCCCCCCCCCCTCTCTCTTTCCCTTCTTCTTCCTTGGAGAATCCACTTTCTTCATGACTTTCCTTGGGAACCCCCTTCTTTGGGGAGCCCTCTTCCACCTTTCCTTAGGACCCCCCCTCTTGCTGAAGACCTCCCTTCCATTGGGACCCACATTTCCTTCCTTCCTCCCTTCTCTCTCTCTCTCTTTCCCTCCCTCTTCCATGGAGAAATCCCTTTCTCTAGGACCTTCTTTCTTGGGGACCCCTCTTCCCACTTTGCCTGGGACCCCCTCTCTTGCTGAAGACCTCCCTTCTGTTGGAACCCACCTTTCCTTCCTTCCCTCCTTCCTCTCTCTCTCTTTCCCTCCCTCTTCCTTGGAGAATTCCCTTTATTCAGGATCATCTTTCTTGGGGACCCCCTTCTTTGGGGACCCATCTTCTTACTTTTCTTAAGCAGCTCCTCCTTCCTTTTGGGACTGTTCTTCCTTGGAGACCCCTCTTTCTTAGGGAGAGGTATCCCCTCCCTCTTCTTTAGGGAACCCCCTTTTCAAGGGACCCCTCTTCCCACTTTCCTTGGGACCCCCCTCTTCCTGAAGACCTCCCTTCCATTGGGACCCACCTTTCCTTCCTTCCTCTCTCTCTCTCTCTCCCTTCTTCTTGGAGAATTCTCTTTCTTTGGGACCTTCTTTCTTGGGGATCTCCTTCTTTGGGGACCCCTCTTCCCACTTTGCTTGGGACCCCCTCTTCCTGAAGACCTCCCATTGGGACTCTTCCTCCCTCCCTTTCCTCTTCCTTGGAGAATCCCCTTTATTCAGAACTTTCTTCCTTGGGGACCCACTTCTTTAGGGACCCCTCTTCACAGTTTTCTTGGAGACCCCCTCCTTCCTTTTGGGACTATCCTTCCTTAGAGACCCCTCTTTCTTAGGGAGAGGTATCCCCTCCCTCTTCTTTAAGGAACCCCCTTTTTAAGGGACCCCTCGTCCCCACGGGCGGGGGACCCCCCCTCTTGCTGAAAGGTTCCCGGGGGGGACCCTGCTAGGGGACCCACCGTGCGGGTCTTCCTTCCCTCCGTCCTCTCGCGCGCTGCGTGCCCCGCCCGCGGCCGGAGAAGGCCGGCGTGAGGACGCGGCCTAGGGGGCTCGCGTGGGACCCCAGCTGGCCACTTGCCCTTGGACCCCGGGCCCTTGTCCGGGGACGACCCCTCCCGCGCGTGCCGGGGGCGACCTGCCGCGCGAGGACGCGGCGGACCCCGCTTGCGGGGACCGCGGCGCGCGCGGCCGGGAGAGCTCCTCTCTGCAGCCGGTTAGCACCCAGGCGGAGGGCCATCCCGGGCGGGGGACTGGGGGGGGAGCGCCCCGGCGGGAGGACGCCGCTTGCGGAGGGCCGCACAGGCGCGGCCGGGGACACCGGGGGGGAGCAGCCTGCCGGGGAGCCGGGCGGGACGACACAACCGCACGGGCCGGGGACCCCGATTCGCCGGAGAGGCCGGCCAGGGGAACCCCCGCGGGCGGGGGAGACGTCCGGCCGCCGGCATGGGGGACCAGCGGGCAGGAGACTGCGCGGCCAGGGGACGGGGAACCCGGCGCGGCCGGCTGGGGGACGGCCGGGAGACCCCGCGGGCGGGGGACCCGCCGCGCGTCGGCCGGAGACCGCCGGCGGCCAGGCCCTGGACACCCCTGCAGGAGGAGGGGCAGGACGGGCCGGTGGGGGAGCGCCCGGCGGGGGGACCGCCGCGGCGGCCGGGAACCCAGCGGCGGAGAAACAGAGGCGCCGGCGCGAGCCGGGGAGCCGCCGGCGCCGAGAGAACAGCCCGCGACGGGGCGGAGAACGCCCCCCCCTGGGCCGCCGGGGGGGGAACGGCCGGGAAGCCCGCGGCAGGGGGAAAGCACACCGGCGTCCGGGCGGAAACCCCCCTGGCGGAAGACCCTCGGCTGGTGGGGGGGGGGAAGGGGGGAGAGAGGAGGAGGGGGCGAAGTAGGGAGGTTGTCTCCGCCTTACGACCCTTCCGCCGGCTTTTTGGGAAGCGGCGGGGACGACACCCGGTCGGCCGGGGGGACGCCGTCCGCGCGGCCCGGGGGGACCTCCGCGGCCCCGGGGGAACCCGCCCGCCGGCGGGCCGCGTCTACCCCTCCCGGGAGACCCCGTTGTCGGAGGCCGCGCGCCGGCGGCCGGGGAAGAACCGCGGCTGGAGGAACTTCCTCCTCGGGCCAGAAAAAGGAACCACAAACAAGGAAACCCGCCTAAAAATCGGGAAAGGAACAGAAAAAACGGAAAGAGGAGGGGGAGGAGGACACTAAAGCTCCCTCAAACAGGAGAGAGAGAAAGAAAGGGGTCCTGCCGCGGAGGGGCACGGAACGATCATCGGAATGCACGGGAGGGAGGGTTATAATAGGAAAAAACCTCGGAAAAGAGACGGACGTGATGAACGGATTAGGACTGCATGAGAAGGAAGGGAGGGTACCGGGTAATCGGAGGAAGAAGCAAAGGATAGGATAGACGCGAATAAGAAAGGAGGAAGACAAACGCGTAGTAATTTGCTCAAAAGGAGGAAAAGAAGAAGACAAAAGCAGAACATTCCTCTGCAGTATGTGTACAAGAAAGTCGGAGGCAAAGAAAGAGAAAAAAGGACAACTGGAAAAACGGAGGAACTTCCTTCCTCGGGACCCTTTTCTTTAGGGACTTCCACGTTTCTTGGGTGATGCCTCCCATTCCTCCTTCCTTTGAGACCCTTCTTTATTAAGGAGGACACCCCCTTTCCTCTTCCTTGGAAACTCCCTTCTTTGAGGACCTTCTTCCTTCGGGAAGTTCTTCCTTTGGAGATCCACCTTTCAACTCACTTCTTGTCTCTTCTTTGGGAAGACCCCCTCTCTCCTTACTTCCTCTCTTTCTTGAGGGCCATCCTTCCTTGGTGATCCCCTTCTTTCCTTCCTTCCTTTCTTCCGTCCTTCTTTCCTCCCTTCCTCCCTTCCTTTCCTTCCTTCCTTCTTTCTTTCCTTCCTTCTTTCCTTCCTTTCCTTCCTTTCTTCCTTCCTTCCTTCCTTCTTTCCTTCTTTCCTTCCTTCCTTCTTTCCTTCTTTCCTTCCTTGGGAACTTCCTACTTTAGAGACATATCCTCCATACTTCCTTTGGTACCCCTTTTCCTGAGGTACCCACACCTCTTTTCCTTGGGACCCCCACCTTCGGGCCCCCTTCCCCGTGTCCTTAAGGACCCCTCTTTCCTCTCCCATTGTATTTTCCTTCTTGGAAGGCAAAGTGTTGCCAAAAGTGGAGTCTCTGCCCCGAGGAGGATGCAAATGTGATGGTTTTGGGGCCTGGGCATGTGTTGCTTTCCCTCCTGGAGGCACGAAGCCTTGCAAAAGTGAACCACTTCCGGCCAAAGAAAGGTTTCTGCAGGGAGTGTTGTGGATTTCCTTTCCTCCCGTGTCACCCTTACAAATGGCTTGGAGTAGGCCTATTGCATCCTTTGTGTTTACTCGAACGTTGGGTTCGTTGACTTGGAAAGGGCTTTGCGTGCATCGACACTGCAGAATGAATGCGGCTTTGACTCC